TATAAATATAAATATAAATATAAATATAAATATAAATATAAATATAAATATAAATATAAATATAAAAAATATAAATATAAATATAAATATAAATATAAATATAAATATAAAAAATATAAATATAAATATAAAAAATATAAATATAAATATAAATATAAATATAAATATAAATATAAATATAAATATAAATATAAATATAAAAATATAAATATAAATATAAATATAAATATAAATATAAATATAAATATAAATATAAATATAAATATAAATACAGAATATAAATATAAATATAAATATAAATATAAATATAAATATAAATATAAATATAAATATAAATATAAATACAAATACAAATATAAAAGAGTATAAATACGCAAACAAATAAAATATAAATAAACAAAAAGCATTAAAAAAATATATATATATATATATATGTATATATGTATATTGTTGTTTGTATTCAGCATCACTATCTAACAAAAGCGGCTCTGCTGGTTCGTATGGCAGCAGCAATGCAGCAGCAGCAGCAGCAGCAGCAGCAGCAGCAGCAGCCCCACAGCCTTTCTGGGGTGTCTGTACACCTCAAGGTGCTGCAGCAAACAGCAGATGAAATAGCTCTTCCTTCTTCTCTCTCCCAGCAGATGTTTCTACCCTCGCTGCTGCCCCCTTATTCTTTCTGCAGCAGCAGCAGCAGCAGCAGCAGCAACAGCAGCAGCAGCAGCAGCAGCAGCAGCAGCAGGTTTCGTGATCTGGCGGAGACCCTGAAGCAAGAGAGCTCCAATTGGCTTCAGGAGAATAGTAATGCTCCTGCTGCTGCTGCTGCTGCTGCTGCTGCTGCTGCAGATGGTCGGTGGCTTAGAGAAGCATCGCAGCAGCAGCAGCAGCAGCAGCAACAGCAGCAGCAGCAGCAGCACAGCGAGAGAGAGGAGGAAGACAGAGGGGTTGCTGCTGATGGACCTGCAGCAGGAGAAGCAAAGACAGCAGAAGAAACAGCAGCAGCAGCAGCAGCAGAAGCAGCAGCAGCAACAGTAGCAGCAGTTGC